ATCTTTTTCAATATGCTTGCTTAAAAATGGCTAAGATGATGTATCAGTTATCAAATAGCAGATTATTTGAGTTTAATAAAATGACTGACTAATCCCTTCAGCTTTAAAAATATATATTATCTATTACATAGTTGGGGGGGTTGTACATTTCTAAATCAGCCTCCAGACCAACACAACAAAAATCAGCTAGTTTAGTCATTGTTTGTGATAAATGCAAATAACTTAATAACCAGCATCGTCATACTGATGAGCATGAGTGGTCTTGAAATTTTTCACCAGAAGAACATCATGCCGTAGGTAACACCGAAGAGCAGATTTACTCCGAAATCTGTGGTGGATGCGGTGTTGTCAGGTGACTCACAAGTGTGGACGTGTGTTCCCCAACTTTCAGAAATTTTAAAGTCGGCTGTGTGAACAAGTCAGGACCAGGACTTTTGGTGCAAGTCCAATATAGTTGGCAAAAGTGAGCGGGAGTTAAAAGACAAAACAGGAAATGGAACAAATGCAAAATATGTGGGGTCAGCATAAGGTCAATATGCATCTGGAATATCTCGCATTAGATTCATTGGTGAGGACAGTGAAAATACTAAAACTGTTAATTTCACTGTTGCTGTGGAAACATGACTGTTACGCCTCTTGTTTGACTTTGTGATGTGAAACCATGTCCTCTCACTGCTGTTGCCTTTTTGTTTCTGACAGAGACATAGCCAGCGCCATAAAAGAGCTGCTGGATACAGTCAACAATGTCATCAAGAAGTATCAGTACCAGAATCGCAGAGTGAGTATTACACAAGACACAAACACACGCCCGTGCACGTTGTCACATCCTCTTCTTGGTTTCTAAATGAAGTTTCTGCCTTTGTTTTCCGCTCGTCAAGGCCCTGGAGCACCAGAAAAAGGAGTTTGTGAAATACTCCAAAAGTTTCAGCGACACCCTCAAAACATACTTCAAAGATGGAAAGTAAGTATAACCATGAGACTGTGAACGATGCTTCAGCTTATCGTTGCTCTGTTTTCAATCTCCATTCAACTCTCTTCTCTTAAAGCGAGGCTGGCAACCTCACAGTAAGACTCTGGGAAATCGCTGCCATGAAACAGTTAGGCCACACTTAGGCTTAGGAACTGTTTAAACAAAGCAAGATGCAACGTGTTCATTAGTGAGCTTCAGAGGTGCTCGTATGTTGTTTAGTTTTATCTTTAGACAAGGCCAGACTCAATGTTCCCCTCTTGTTTATACTTTTTGTTCTTAGCTGACGTGCTGCTGGCTCTAGCTTCATATTTAGTGTACACACACACCACAGCTGATATCATTCTTCTCACCTGATTCATGGCAAGAGAGCAAATGAGTGTATTTGCCAAAATAAATGTTGAACTTTTCCTTGGAGTTAGAATACCAACTAACGTGCTAGTCCCACATTCTGATATGAAGGCATGTTTATTTTCTCTATTGTTTGTCATTGTAAATGGAATAATTTTGGTTTATTATATAAGCCATATGGATTCTGGTAAATATAGATATTTTACACACAAATAGTTAAATAAATGTGTAGACACACTGATAATGGAAATTAATTTTAGTTGCAGCTAATGTAGATGGTTATGTAGGTCAACTGAAAGCCCAGTGAGTAAATAATGACTCATGCAATCCAGAGTGAGTGACACTGTTTTACCAACACTGACATTATTAGAAACACCTTACAACATTATACATTACAGCTGAACAGCACTGAAAATCCATCAAATTATCAGACACAGTGTCAAAAAACAGAAGCTAAGCTAAGATAAGCTTTATAAAGGACATAGTGTATGTTATTGTTGCTGGGCAGCAATGTAGACAATGTAGCAGCTCCTCATGCTACATTGTGAAATCATCCTTTGCATCAGGAAACCCGCAGGCTTCTAAGAAGGAAGAGACACAAGGGCAGGAATGTAGAGAGTGACACAGCTGGTCACTTGTTAACTAAACCTGTCATTAGACTTTGAATGTCTTGGCAGAACCAGCCCGTCCCCATTTCCATTCATTCTGCTCCCCCCACTAATACTTTGCCAGTTGTTTAAACAGTGTCTGGGAGCCTTTCCAGTCTGTTTTCTCAAGTTTTTTTTTTTTCTTTGTTCCCAGGGCGATAAATGTCTTCATCAGTGCAAACCGGCTCATCCACCAAACCAACCTCATACTGCAGACCTTCAAAACTGTGGCCTAGCCCTCAAGAGACCACAGAGTCCCCGTGTCCTTTGGGGAGCAACTGCTAGAGTGGTGGAAGCTTGAAGAACGCCTGACCCATATATGTAAATTAGAAAGAGTTGATTTTAGGGTTGGGGGGTCGATTCCATTGGGAGTCGAAATTCTAGATTCCAGTTCAAGAGACTGAAAAGTGCCATTTGTTTTTTCAATGAGGATTTTCCAGTCTTGAAATGGAACTGAATGGGCCCAAAGTCTTGGTTGATTGATTTTATTTGGACAGTTTTAATTTATAACCCCGGTCTTGTTGGGAGTAGGTGAGGCGAGGTGTTTATTAAAGACTAATTGCCATTTTTTTCTAATATATTCATGTTGATCATTTTACTTTTAACTTTTCAATCATGGTTACACATGTGAGACTGCATTAAGTAGGGGTGTGCGTCTCAACCGTCTACACTGGTTTTCTCTTCTCGCCTCCTGTTTGTGTCATTTCTCCATTGGTCCGTACGCGCCAGGAGGAGTGACTAAAGCACCCGACCGCACGCAAAATAGCTGCGAGGAGAGGGGAGGAAACAGTGTTGGACATTTAAGAGGCAGACTCAGATTTCTTTTCTCTTTATTATCAGAAGACAGAAAGCCAAATGACTTCCAGCACAGTGTGCGCCTTACCAAGTCCTGTAACATTCCCTCCTCTCAGAGTGTAATGAAGTGGAGCCAGTCCCTGCTGTTGGGGGATGCAGAGAGAGAAATGAACGTTCTGTATTTAACTGATATCTGGTTGCAAATGTTCAATAAATAGTTTCCAAATGATGATGCTTTTTTAAATGTGTCCGAGTCCAATATGTGTGGGGTTACTTCTTTATTGTTGGTGAGGGGGGTGGAGTTCGACTTTTCGAATTTCTTCTTTTCTTTTCCCTCCCGTTCCTTTGTTAGCTAAAAATAACAAGCAAAGAAAAAAAATGTAAAGACATTCTCATAAATCACCCTTTATAAACACGAACGGCACCCTCTGAAACGGTTTCAACAGAATATAACTGTTGTACTAACTATTGCAGGACTGCTTTAGTTTTAGCTGGGTGGACCTACACACTGGCAACTGAATGTAATTACTCGAGTACTCCATTTATTTAGCATTGCACTTATGCAACATTGGAATCACAAAACCTGGCACTTACATTACCCATCCGTCAATTCAATTCTATTTGTATAGCACTGAGTCGTAATATACATTATCTCACAGCACTTTACAGGGTAAAGTGGAGGCCATATGCCTTGAGAGGAGAAAGAAGGAGAGGGGGTGGAGAGAGAGAGAGAGAGAGAGACCATGGACAGCAGTATACACTTGATTGTTAATTGTAACAGTGAAACAGTTATACCCATAGGTCTTATCGTATTTGCTTTCAATCCCCCAGCAGTCTTGGTCTATAGAAGCATAACTAAGGGATGGACTCACTTGAGCCAGCTAAATTCACTACTGGAGCTGTGTCCAGGTGTGTTCTGCTAGTAGCTGCTAATACAGCCTTGAGCTACAAGTATTTAGTAAAGACGAGGATGGGCTGCAGAGATCTGGTTACCTCATTTCTTTGTAACTCCACGGCCTCTGATTACATTCATTGTCAAACTTGTAAGCTTTAAGCAAGCTGACTCGAAATACATCACTTGAGGCTATCTATCATATTTCATGTAGCCCCACCAATGTGACCACAAAAGCCTTTATACAACTTTTTTTTCACATGCAGTAGAAAAGAAGTGGATTCAAGCCTTGTTCTCTATTTAGATCAAGAGCTGAAAATTTGTTTAATCATTTTATTTACACTGAACTGTTAAAATAACCTTGTATAAAATATCTCTGAGCAGTTTCACAAAGCTTGGGCAGATCTTATCAGGTTTTCCTGATATAAAGACTGCATGTTACCCCCAAGGTCAGGTGCTTCTAACTCCTTAACTGTAGCAGGTCATTTTCTTGCTGGTGCCCTTGCTAGCTGAAATACTGCTGTTTATTTCCAGGCGCACTGAGACAATAACATTTCCAGCGTTGCCTGGAAACAACATAGCAGCAAACCATGAGATTGCCAAGGGACTGCAAGTCTCCATAATGGTACTGTAGCATTGATGTTAGGGGAGGGGAGCGGGGGGTCTTCATTCATGGACCTTTTTTTTTGTTGGTCTAGAGCTTGTCTGATTTCACCGGGTGATGAGAAATATGATAGGAGAACCCAGAACTACTCAGCTGTCTGAATGCTGTCAGACCCACTGACATCCGAGTGGGTAATAAAAGCAGAACTGTGGCAGAAATGCTACTTGCAAACATAAGGTCCTTAATCATCTGAGACAACTCTCATGTGTTTCGGAAAACTGGTCAGACAAAACCAGTTGAAGCCTCCACTTTCTGTAAAGAAAAGGCATCTGGCTGCAAAATAAATAAATAAATAAATAAATAAATGAACAATGGATTGTCAAATGTGTTCCTAGAAGAGGAATAACTTTGCATTAGTGTGGCTATTCTATTTCTGGCTGTGTACTTGAGAAAACTGCATTGTAGTTTTCTCACTGTGTTCTCTTGGGCTGTCTCTGTTCCCTTTCACTGTGTGTTGTTTAATCCAACATGCACAGTCATTGTGGTGTGTTTGAGATCATCAGTGTTTAACGAAACACTTATTTTTTTCTTTGAAGCAACTGTGAAAAGAACAAAAGGAGTTTGAACAGATGTATTTAACAGGCAAATAACTTTTTTGTGCTTCCTTGATGTTCCAACTGCCTGAAATTCTTGAAAAGCAACCATTCATTCTGAACAACAAAAATGATTTATTTTTGTATTTTACAATAAAAAGTAATTGATGAATCATTTGGTAAAAAAAAAAAAGTTTTCACATAATTTCACATGATATACACAATGTTCACAATAAAGCAAACAAAATAACAAAAATACTGTTTTTAGAAGAGTCATTTCTCTCACATTTGGCTGTAAACAGAAAAACCACACACAGTAGCTGCCTGACCAGATGCTCACATGAACAAATAACTACTAACACCACTGCTTGATTTGTCAACAGCTACCCTGCTAACAGTCTGATAAGAAATCACAAGGTTTTCATGACTCTCACTGGCCTCACAAAATCTCTAAATCACATTTCATTCATTCATTAAGGACACAGCTTTTTCCAAATACATTTTGAAAAGATTTACTAATATATAAATTACACAGAATTTAACATTAACTTTAATTCTGATGATGAGGGATACCACCCATGCAGGCTACAATTATCATTACTGACCTAATTAATCAAAAGCTTTTTTATTCGTTTTTTATAACAGTGACCAGCAGTCTGAGACAGTACAATGCACAAAATAATTTTTTGTATGTAATGCTAGCAGCGTAGGAATTCCAATCCCTTAACTTCTGTATAGGTCACTGATTTCAATGTGACAAAATACATTAAAAACTACCATCTTCAGCTGTGCTTTGCGTTAACTACCTTAACCTTTATGTCAATTTCTCAGCACCTTGCCTCCATCTGACTGTCTCACCAGTCCCGTCCGTCAGCTCTTCCCCAGCAGTCCCACTCTCTTCAGCGCCTTGTCCACGCTGGGAATGAGTTTTTCGTGGAAATCCCACAGCCGTTTGTCCACATGGAGCTGCTCCCGTGTTAACCTCCCCTGCAGAGGCACGCGGACGTGAATGATCCGACAAACATCTGGTGGAACCTTGTAACGTTGACCAAAATTCTTGAGTAACTCATGTACGGAGGTTTGCTCCACCAACCTGGGATACACAGTCACATAAATGGATTAAGGACAATTCTTTACTTCTACCTGTATTGTCTCAGTTTTGGAGTTTTATTGTACTTTGAGTTAAACTGTCCTTACAACCCATGGTCCATGTGTAATCTGTTGGGACTCTAGTATGTTCTATGGGATATCACCATTTGGTGTAATTTTCTTTTGATCAAAGTTTTACTATGATATAAAAAGATCTTCACATTAAACAACTAACACACTGTTTTACCATAAGACCTCCAGCCAAATGTGTTATTTATTCAACCAAAACACTGAGTGTGGGTTCTGAGTGAGTAAATTTCAGTCTGGCAAATTCACCCTACCTTGGCTGAACTATCATCTTGTAGGGGTGATATATATTTCTGTTTGGCTCCTCCCTGTATATGTGCTCCAGAATATTAATTCCTGGAACCCCGTTCCACTGAGGCAGGTGAAACTTCCCACTTGGCTCAAAGTGGATCTTGGGGAAGATATGGTTCTCAATGAGGAACACCGCCGCCTACAGAATGCGATACAGGATGTAGATAGAAAGACAATATAACTATCAAAAATTAAAAATGTTATGTATTAATGTAATATTTGTGTTTCTTAATTGCACATCCAAAATACCGCACATTTGGTTTCTGCTGTTGGAGCACGTTCATCAGAGACATCAGGTTGTTGTGTTGGTATGGCATTATAATCTCATCAATGTCGTTCAACAGGACGTAGCGTGACCGGGTCATGGATCTGTAAATACACTCATTAAGCGTGGTCAGCTGGCCAAAGTAGTGCACGTCCCCGCCGTGCTCTGAGAAGAGCCAGCCACGAGACGGATTCATATGCTTGTCGATGGGCCAGGGAACCATCTCCACGAAGCCCTCCTGGCTGTAGCTCTGCAACAGGCGGTCGAGGTCTGGGCCACAGCTGGTGTTATAGATCACCACTCTGTCCACACCCAGCAACCTGGAGCAAGGTGAGGCAACGGTTATATGATTAGTTCACACATTACAATTACAAAAAACAAAACAAGACAAAACAAAATACATTTTATCGTTCAGATCTAGTGATATGTAGCCATGTAAAAAGTTTGGTTTCATATGTTCATAATTTAAGATATTTACCTGGGGATTTCTGTTTCCATCCGAACAAAGGATGTGGAGGTTAAAAAATCTTTGTGGTGCTCGTAGCACTGACAAATTGCATTCGCAACCTGGGAATGTAAGTCCAACTCACTCTCCTAACTAACTCCAGAGAAAAATATCTGGCTAAATTCCCCACTGTGTTCACTACATAGTTGTTAACTTTGAATACTAGCTGTTTGGTACAAGGCAAGTAGCATACAATAGATTTTAAGTTTTTTTTTTTTTTTTGCTGAGAACAGCTGTCTGCTGCATCTGGAAACTAAGCCATAAAAGCTTTGAAAGTGAACCGAAACAATGACCTGAAAATCACTATGAAGCGCCTTAGGGTTAACTGCGGATGATAATCTCTGTGGGCTCATCAAAATATCAACTAACATGAGTCCACAACCATGCTAGCAGGCTATCTAGAGGCCACAATAACTAAGTAACTGTTAAGCTACAAACAACAATACAGCTCATCATTACTGATTAGCAGGACTGTCATTTTTCAAAATTCAAACTTTTATCTGTGTGGGAAAAAAAATTATATTCAAATGGTAATGATCTGTTTAAATCAAAATTTAGTCTTCAACACAGCAGACTTTTTAAAAGTTCTTTGTCTTGTGGTCCAGCAGTGGGCACTATTAAAATCGATTGACCTTTGACCCTTCAGTAAACAACAGTAACAAAGATAGAAGTCATTAGTGATGCTAATCAGACAATCACATCACCAAAGCACCCAAGAATCCGTGTGTAGAAGCACTTTTGGTTCTATAGCAACTTTCCAGACTTTGTAAAAAGAAGCTTCCTTACTCTACATCAAATCTGAGGATTCACCTGCTAGTTTGCCACCAAAATGAAGCAGAAACAAGAGGAGCAACATTAATTGTACAACCTCACCTGACTACCCACCTAAGACACATAGTGTAGTTGTATGATGAGGAAATATAAAGACTATACTGAAGGGTAGGACACACTATCTGACAACTGATGCTAATGTGTAGTCCCAGCTCACTGTATCTCAGCCACACACTGTGTTACATTTCGCATTATAATTAATTTTAAAAAATTACGTGTTAAGAATTGATTCAATCTTGACTTTTTGAAAATATAACAGTATGAGAGTGTGACTTAAGACTGACCTGTACATCTCCAGAGTCTGTGCAAACTGAAGCACATTGTTGTAGTCTCCAAACAGGTTGGAGATGCAGACTGTGAAGTTAAACTGAAACTTCTCCTCCTCCTTCCTGTTGGTCTTTTTGTTTTTTATGGGGAGCCAAATCTGGTCAGATTGAGTCACGCTCCCTGGCTGAGTCTGAAGGGTGACATGTGTAGCGTTGCAGTTTTGAGGGATCCGACACATGACATCTGTCGTGACGAAGGGAAAACCAAAGTTGTCTGGGTGTTGTAAAATGGTCGCTGGAGTGGTTGTACTTGATACGTAGTCTGCACAGCAGAAAAGACAGTGCAGGGGTTGGATGGAGTCTCTCCTAAATATGCCAATGATGCGTATATCCAAACCCTTCACTCTCTGGTCCATGTAGGCCGACACCTGGAAGTGCTTGGTGTTGTTGAGGGGGGTGATGGTCTGCTCAGAGATGTAATAGGGGCAAGCTTTTGGAGGCCCACGCGGGTTTGGGATTGACCTGTATGTCTTGGGAGTCTTAACAATGATGCAGAAGATGAAGATGAAAAGAATAATGACGATGAAGAACTTCCCACTTGATTTCATTGGCTTGTCCATCCAGCCACAGATGAGATTTGCAACCTGAGGCAGAATTAGGAACCACAGTTAGAGAGATTCAATATTTGAGGAACGAATCAAACACACTGATGGCTACAGCTCGAATGTGTTCTTACCGCAATATCAGACAAATTTTATTTTAGTCAGCCAACTCATGTGGAATAGATTATTATGTAAATGTAGAACATGTACAGGATTACTCTTGGGTGTCTGCTCCACACTCCCTGCTGACTTCAGCTCAACAGTTCATTATTCCAATACTAGCTCACACAATGAGAAATCTGTGGATATGTATATACGGGTAGGTAATTTTTATTTGAATGATCCAATATCTATTTTTAAAATCCCAAGATCAATCTTTGCTGTTACGTCTGAAAACACACTTACACCTTTTCTCAGTAAACGTGCATAGATACAGTGGTCATGACTCGGTTAAAGCTGCGTGATATGCAAGATCTTTACTTTGTGGAGCTCAAGTTACTAGAACATGCAGAACATAAGAGGTTATTTTAACTTAAAAGTAACGTAGATGATAGCTGGCTATATGAGCCACCTTGAATTACTGCAACTACCACAGAGGCAGTTTTGAGTACTTTGGTGTTAATGATAGCATCACAACTGTGTGAGATACAGTCACAAATCTTTACAGGTGTTTAATTGAGAAATTGAAGGCAGAGTTTGAAGATGGGTATGGTCACACCTGCATAACCCCCTTATATGTAACCAATACCCAGAACAAGACACTGACTAACCAGAGCTTAACACTTGTGCATCCTTTTATCCTTAGGACAAAAATGTCCACATTAAAAAATGATACATCATTTTCCACTTTCACTGAATTAATCTTATTCAACATCAGTCCTGATCATTACGACCAAATATCAATTTGAATTTCATTGTAAACCACATTAAAAAAGGGATGTAGTTTTCTTCCCAAAATGTTGCTTTGAGCCAAACGCTAACTTCAACATGCTGTTACTTCCTGGTGGGAATGAAACAAAATCAGCATAAATCGATAAACAAAGCCACAGCACACCTGCTCGGGCTTTTTCACTGATCACTGGCTGATAAGACCTTTGCTCACACTGAAGGTGGGCAAGGTTTTGCTGCTGGCCTTTAGGTAAGGTCACCTGACTCCATGCAGTAGAAGAATGATAAATGTTTGACTTGTCCCACCCTGTCAAGTGCAACAAATCTAAGAGGAGAGTGAGGAAGACGATGATCAAACACACACCACACTCTCCCAAAGACTCACTCTAAATCACCTGTGTTGATGCACAGGCCCTTAAAGGTAAATCATGTGGTAAACAGATTGACAGAGTTACAGAATACTCAACAGCTGCACTGTGAGAGACAGTCCTCCTAAGAAAAGTGACAGTGTGGCGTGAGTGTACAATAAGGAGAGAAGCTGAAGTAAAGGGCCAACAAAACCACCTCGGGAATCACACCCCAGGATAACCATCTCAAAACCTTAGATGTTTTTTTAAATTGATGCAAGGACACAGGCTTGTAACTGACAAGGCTGAGACATGTTATTGAAAACCAGCCAATGCTACCAGCCACAACAATAGAGGGGAACCAGCTAGAGACTGAACAGAAGCAAGCAGGTTCCCTTTATAACCTGATGAGTTAGTTGGCTGGAGTAGGAGTCATCCTACTGCTGTTTCAGCAAATGCCATGAAACAACATATGTTAACACTCAAGTCAAGTGAATAAGCCCTCTAGCAAACATAATAAGTATGACTTGTTCATCAGGAACAGAAGAGGAATTTGGGTGGCCTAAACCATTGTCTTTCCCCCAACCGTAAGTTATTTTTGTGCCTTTCCACTTAATTCTCACTCTCTTCGAATCACTCTTTTTACTCCCTTAATGTTTCCTTCTCACTCTCTTCTCCTTCCTGTCCAGTTTTTAATAATAAATAGTACACCATTAGCTAAAAAACTTCACAACATACAACAAATAGTATACAACTAAAAATGGTGACATTCGGCCCATCTCGTCACTTTCCGATACCGAGCCACAGTGGCATCCAATCTGTCCTGAAGAAGTAGCGCTGCTCAGAGGGCGTATTACAACCTCTTGTATTGTAAATGCAACAATGGCTGAAGCTCTTGGCAAGCCTGGTAAGTAATGCTAACATTGGCTACGTAGCAATAGCAAAACTTAGCTCCTTTAACCTTAGCATTGTCAGATTATAAAACATAGGCCTAAGATTTATTTCACAAATTGTTAATTGTAACTGGCTAGGAAGGCACAGACACCTGATGTCGCCCTGCCGCTAGGGCCGTTTATAAATATATATATTACTGCACTAACTCTACTTAACGTCATGTTAAGTTCCAGTGACAGAGATGACAGATTGTGTTGTATTTGCATCTTTACTATGATGAGTTTTACCGTGTTTTACTAGAAACGGAAAAAACGTGTAAATGTGAACATCTTCAATGGGAATTTGACTGTATTAAAATACTGTATATGTGAGCACAGAGAGTATGAGATGAGGAAACAGATAAAATGCTGAAATTGTCTGACACTAGGCTCAATCAATGAGAGTGTGCTTGAGTATAAGGATGCTGTTTATGTGGAGGAAGAAAGTCTGAGATAACACATTGGGGGGCTTCACAAAATAGATAATACTAGTAAAATATATAAACATCTACACTTGCCATGTATTCGGATTAGAAAGGAACATGTTTGCATTATGAGAAAAGAAATGTTGCAGTGTAACAGGGGTGTTTTCTATCATTCTAGGTTGTGGTTGGATGAATAATTAAAAAAAAAAAGTCATCTGCTTTGCTGCATACAGTTCTGGGAAATGGGATGAACAGTTGCAAATAGATTTACAGTAATGAATTAATCCAAAAGAAGAGAGGCTTTTTCATTAATATGTTTTAAGCAAGTATACGCTCCACTGAGCAGTTGTAGTATCACTGATTGTAGACTTAGTAGCCTTGCAACAGGGTGCATGCATTTTAGAAGGATACAAGCTAACACTTTATGTGGCAGGGCAGGGGGTAGCAAGTAAAAAAAGATAAGGGGAAGACCACTAATTATTGAGATATATATATATATATATATTAAAGTTTAGACATGTAGCTTTTTATGTATTTTAATATTTGTGAAATAAAGTCTTTTTAAGATTTATTTCCTTGCAGAGCATCGGTGGGCCATTAGCTGCTCTTGCTGTGGGATAATTTTTGTTGTTTGCTTGTGGGTTTTTTAGGGTTTTTTTTTGAGGGTGGGCCATTGCAACTCATCTGGTAACGAGCAAAGAGATATGGGTATTTTTCTTGGGTTGGACTAGCTTCATTTCCTTTTTTGTTGGTTGGGTTTTGATCTTTTGTTAATATGTTTGTTTCCCCCACCAATCAGTAAGAGGAAGCACGCTGGTGCAGCAGTTCACACAGTTGCCTGTCAGCATGAAGGTTCCAGAGACCAGTTCGACTCGGGCATTGTTGCATGTTCTCCCTGTGCCTGCGTGTGTTTCCTCCAGGAACTCCCACAGGTTAATTGATGACTCTAAATTGCCTATGAATGGTTGTTTGTCTATATATGTCAGCCCTGTGATAGACTGGCGACCTGTCCAGGGTGTACCCCACCTATTGCCAAATGTCAGCTGGAATTGGTTCTAGCCCTCTCCCCCTGTGACCCTGAAAAGGATAAGCAGTATTACTAATGGTATGATATGGTAATGATATGTTGTAACCTTTGGAATGTGTTCTCTCACTTTGTGTGCAAGACGTATTGTTTACATTGTGTACTGGAGTGCACCTAGTGCCCCTCAGCCCCTGCCCCGTCAGTGACAGCTGGGAAGTAACTGTGAGGAGTTTAATGTTCAGAGATCAGAGATCTTCACGGATAATTTTTGATGTACAGGGAACACATCGAATATTAAGCTGTTAGCTAAAAAGGAATATTTAAACCCCTTGCTTTTAACACTGGGGGACCTGTATCCCCACCCAGAAGGGAAAAGTATGAATTCCTCTAAGAGTGATTGGTCAGAGCCCTCTGATAGACAATGCCTCCTCTCTCAATACTTGTTTGAGATAGATATCTCCTAAAGTAAGCTGCTGCGTGCCAATTATTTTGCTGACTGCACTTACAATGTTAAACAGTTGATTTTTGATTGGCACTGCAAGGTTCACATACCAAGAAATCATACCAAAGGTTAAAATTGACTCAATAACAGATGTGTAAAAAAAAGCCATCGGTGTCTTGTCCACATTAAAAGTATTCAGTATGTGCAGAATGTCAAGTGTATGCAAATGTGTTAAGGACAGAGTTCAACTTCTTGTCAGTCACCGATCCCAGGTACTTGTAGCACTCAACCAGCTCAACAAGTTAGCCTTGAATTACAGTTGGGAAGGTTGAGTTAGAGGTTTTCCTGACGTCGAGGGGGCGAATATAAAAAGTAAAGCTGAACTGAAAAACTCTTTAATCGTTACTCTTTCATTCCTCATGCTAGTGTAACATTTATAATACCGCCTACTTACAGTGTCATTTTGTTGTATGAATATGGCATTAATAAAAGCAGCTGCCACTGGTGTTAAAAATATAAAAAAATATAAATAGCAACAACTGGGGGATTTCAGAGGAAAAGGGACAGAAACGATGCCAGAAATATTTTTGTAAGAACAGCAAAGGCAACAGTACAGTACTAGGACAGAAGAGTGAAAAGTTTAGGAAAATGGTCTTAACAACCTTTATCTTACTGTGTGATTAGAGAGTAAAAACGGGATTACTTGATTTAAGAGTAGGTTACTATATACGGATCCACTGTTAATTTCCTACAAGAGAAGTTTGAGATACATTCGCAGGCAATTAAAACACAAAAGGCGAACATTACGTAGACCACATAGTCAATACAAACTCACTATTCAGTGAGAAAACTGTTTAAATAATACATCGATAGTCCACCAATGCTTGCATGGCAGCAAAATGTAGCTATGTCTGCGTGTTATAATATTTTCTACTAAAGACATTTCATGGCTATAAAAGTAGTACAAATGCTATCAAGGAAATATTAACGGTACACTAAAAAGCGTTGAACGTTAGCAGGAAGGAAGGCCTACTTAGAGTAGCGAGTCTTATTACATTTGTGAGGATTATATATAAAACATACAGTAACTCACTCAAGGTTGAATGTGCTCCTCTTGTAGTAACGGCTGGTGCTGACAACACGCACACACACACACACACACACACACACAAGGCGAGTTAATATTAGAGTCCGCGTCTTACTGTGTCTGGTGTGTTTCATGTGTCACTGTATCTTTATGTGACCCCCCCGTCTGCTTGCCTCTCTGTATCTCTCTTTGCAGTTCTCTCTCACTATCGGAGTTTGTTCATCTCTGGGCGTGACCACTTTTCTCCAAGTTAGCGCGACTAATATGAGCAGTTTCGTGAGGAATGGGGCTTAGAGGTGACAGAAAAACGTAAGAAAAATGCAAAAATAAATAAATAAATAAATAAATGCAAAAAAAAAACCCAAAATAAATAAAAAATAAAAAATAAATACGACGAATGGCTATATAGAGGGTTCAAACCTGTTAACACGATCATGGCAAATGACCCTATGAATCAAAGTTGCATGTCCTACAAAAGCAACACGTCAGGTAAGGCGATACAAGCTCACCAGGGGAGGTTGTGTCCTGTAGCAATGTTATGTGTCATTACATCCTGCGATTGTTTGGTAACCCGGAGCTGCAGGGAGTGGGGGTGCGGAGTGCGGGTGGTGGGTTCGGGGGGTGGGGGGCTACAGCTGTTTTATTTAACTGCCTTTATTTTCTTAAATGTTCTTTCTTCTTTCTTTCTCATTTTATGCATCAGTCAATATGTTATGCATAGACACTTTCTTCTTTTTGATTGGTGATCAGCACAATTTTAGTAGAATTATCTGTAAATAAAAACAGCTCAGTTATTTATTTATTTTTTTACCTGATGTTTGCAGATGAGTTCAGGGCATTTTCCAGCCATATATAGTGTCTGCAGGCTTCAACACAGGCTGCATAAGGCCCCAACAACTTTGACCAAGAATGGAGAACAGCTTGTGTGTTTCCAGGAAAACAGTCTCCTGTCACCCTCTACTGCTTCTAATGGTTCAGTGTGCATGACATGGATAAGCTTTTGTAATACTCAGGTTTGGAAGTAAGAGGACATGGGTTAAGTTGTCTGTTAATGAGTGAATCAAAATGTAACTTTAACAATGATGGCATAATGAGGGCGATTTACGGAAGCCCTGAAAGGCAAGTTGATTTTTTTTTCCTGCAAGGATCATCAGTTTTTTTTTTCCATCTGTGAAAACAAACCCCAAGAGGCAAGTCTTTTTTTTTTTTTTTTTTTTACCAGGATCAATTGTTTTGTCAGGATTTCTCAGTGTTTGTTTTTGCAATACTCATTTTGGCAACAAAAGGCTGAAGTGCAACACTACCCCAGTTTAAATAGGACTAAAAACATTCATGTTTCCCTCTAGATGATTTTTAATTTCTCCATGTACTCAAATACATATACTGTGAGTGATGTAGCAAGTTACATAACACTATTCTGTTCCTTTTTTTGGCTTGAAACGTATTTTAATTGGCAAAGGCTTTCTGCAAGAAATGCTCTATGGAAGTCTGATGAGACAGTATAAAGAGTGACAGTGGTTGCAAGGAACAAGCTGTGATGAAAGAATGGATCACACATAGGACTTTCACCTTGGAGACTGTGGTATGAATTCTGTTATATTTATTGATTTTGTTAACTTATTCTTTTCAGTTTTTTCTTTATTTTTTATTTCAAACCTTTCATCCGGAAAGCCTTGAAGGCACACCTCTCCCATGTACAGGAGTGTGTAGCTCACTCTAATAACAGTGGTGTAATATCTTTGTAGTCTTGTCCTGTCCTTTACAGTAGGACTTTGTCCTGGTGTGGTGAAAATTTCCTGTCACGTTTGCTTCTCCTTCTGTTATTGGGGGGATTTGCTACAACTCTTCTTTTTTTTTTTTTTTTAAGGCCTTGGGTTTCATGTACTGTGTCTTTGGTCTTATGTTCATACACTGGCATCACGTGGGCCCAGCAACTGATTACCATCTAAGTTGGACTCCAATTCCAAATGTGAAAGCAACAATCAGGTTGACAGACAGTCTTTTGGGTCACAATTTTATCCATTTTTTTCCTGTGTGCATTTCCATAAAACAATCCAGATTGTCAGCATTGATTTTGGTGGCAATTTAGTGCTAATTTATTTCAGGTTTCTCTTACTCAGCTTCCATGTTGTCTTGACACAGTAGAAATTGCCTTTTGCTGGATACATGATACACCTGTGTATATTCCCCAAGGAAGCCAAGAATTGCATTATTTGTCACTTTTATGGAAGATTGAAGATGCCTTATTAGAAACAAATCAAACAAAGAAATAAAGTGAAACACAATACACATTGTAATGTGTATTTCCTGTTTATATATGCATTATTTCATATTTAAAATGAAAAACAAATGTTAAAAAGACAATTTACTTCCTGTCACAATTAAGCAATTCATTCACTTAGTACACAAAAAGCTACATAAATGCCCCTTTGGCAACATGTCTATGTGGAACTTGGTTTTATTTGCGGTTGAAACTTCAGAAGGCAAGGAAGATGAAATTTGCACGTTTGTTTTCTTAAAAGAGAACTGAGTGTCTGCTAAACCCTCACAGGGTCCTGTGGCATCTGTTCCCCACAGAAACACGGCAGTGAGGATTTCTATAACCAAGTTAAATCAAGTGGCTTTAGTAGGATAAAAGACACATTTGGTCCACATTTTAAAGAAAAACCATAAGAATTCAGGATTAAAATACAATAAGATTTTTAGGTTTTCTGAATGTGGTGTTACAGCTTCCTCAAACACAGAACATAATGGACGGAACACGAGAAGGAAGTTCACAACATTTGTGCTGTTGCATCATGAGGGAGAGAGAAAAGGAAAAAAAGAATTTCTTAATCCCTGAAAAGGCCAATTTACTTCTTACCCCGGTACCATCTAAGGTTATTCACTGGACTTTAACTGAAACTGGGTTTGCTTTAACTTTCAATCAGTAGTGCATATGGCTGTTGGCTGTATGTTTGTTATGGTATGTTTAACATTGTTTATTACGATCACTTCTTTGTATGTGTTTCAAAATCATATGTCAACTTTAACAACTCAACAATATAAACACAGTTTATGTTGAGGATGATGATATAATATTAGTATAGTAGTAATATTACTATAATATTTAGGTTGTTTTTTTTTGAGTGAAACTTGTTTTTCTCCAGCAGAGGGCACCACAGAGCATTACACCATCACTCTCCATTGCTGCAATATATTTCTTGAACACTCATCATGACAGGTGGCACTTTGTCACAGCCATATTTGATCAGGACAAAAATAGGGCAATACGGCATCTATTGCCTTTGTCTTTGTGGCCTCTGTGAGCCTATTGAAAGCCTGTAAGCCTGATGAAAGTCACCAACAGTGGAAAAACAATCAAAAACAGAAATGGGCCAGTAACAACAGATAGGAAAAAGAAGGGAAACTGTTGAATGCAAAAAATATATATAATTTAATATGCTAAGACACTTAATGGCACAAAGTACGCATAAAAAAATGCATTTCAAGCCTTTTCCTCAGGCAACTACAAGATGTTTATGCTGATGTGTCAAATCAGATATAAGCAATGAAGACAAGTAACATAATGACATTATTATCAGAAAACCATAGGCTTGTGCTGTTGATAAAGAGTGCAAAACGCATGATCTCACACTATTGGTGAACCACATAATAATCAGCAGATAGCCTGCTGAATAATTCAACAATTACTGTATACAGAAACATGTGGACTGCAAATCCAAAAATCACATTTTCCACGCTACATCAAATGTTACGCCAAGGCGAGGGTCACATGACCGATAGAGCCAGCATTGATAGGCTACTTACTGCGTAGAGTGAAGTTGCAAATGCTGTGCTGCCGTTATTCACTAGGAAATGAGAAACAGTACTTCAAAATAAGTCACATAGTAGCAATAAAACAGCTCCTTCCTTTTTTCTGTCTGGACTGTACCTGCTGCTGGTGAGAGTTTACGTCCATGGCCAGAATCAGCCTGTTCATCCCTCCATATCTGTCAGCTCTACCCCTCTGAACTCAGCAGCCCGGCTCTCCTCAGCGCCTTGGTCACCTTGGGCAATAGTTTGTCTTTGAAGTCCCACAGCCGGGTGTCCACGTGGAGCTGCTCCACCGGCCGTTGTACCGGGGTTCTGAGTGGGCAGTGAATGATCCGACAGACCTCCAGCGGCACCTTGAACTTCTCTCCAAACATCTTGAGCACTTCATGCACTGAGGTCTGCTCCACCGCCCTGTGACGTACATACACATTCACACACTGGTCAACCACATGTTCACAAAAGATCATGTCAATGCTGCTACTTATTAATTTGATACTTTAATAAACAGTTTCTCTCCAGATATCTTTGCTTTGAGCATTGAGGGAAAGTAAACAACAGTTCTCTTGACACGGCACAGTCTGAGAAGTCCTCCTACCTTGGCTGAACTATCATCTTGTGGGGGTGGTATACGCTTCTGTCCACCTCCTCCCTGTAGATGTGCTCCAGAATATTAAAGCCTGGCACCCCTTTCCATTGAGGCAGGGGAAGCTTTTTACTTTTCTCAAAGGGTGTCTTGGGAAAGATGTGGTTCTCTATGAGGAACACCCCAGCCTGCAGAACATGGGTTCAGGTTTGATAGGCGCAGCATGTAGAAATCACAGAAATCACAATACAAATAAATACAAGAAATACATTTGGGTAAAATGTTGTGCTATTCTCAAATAAACACCCAAAATACCGCACGTTTGGTTTCTGCTGTTGGAGCACGTTCATCAGAGACATCAGGTTGTTGTGTTGGTATGGCATTATAATCTCATCAATGTCGTTCAACAGGACGTAGCGTGACCGGGTCATGGATCTGTAAATGCACTCGTTCAGTGTGGTTAACTGGCCAAAATAGTGCACGTCCCCTCCATACTTTGAGAAGAGCCAGCCGGTTGATGGAGTCAGATGCTCGTTGATCGGCCAGGGAACCATCTCCACGAAGCCCTCCTGGCTGTAGCTCTGCAGCAGGCGGTTGAGGTCTGGGCCGCAGCTGGTGTTATAGATCACCACTCTGTCGACACCCAGCAACCTGGAGCAAGGTGAGGCAACGGTCAAAATGAATTAAATTCCATTACATTCATTTGTTCAAAGCAGCTAATGAAAAACACACATTCAAACCACATATGAGTAAGAGCTGTTTCCTTTCAAACATTTATCTAATACATGTTCAGTGCTGCAGTACAAGCAAGTACTTGGGAGATATTTGTTTTTAAAGATCTTCCACAGATAAATGCGTTGTGATGCATGAGTTCAAATGCACATATCACAAAAAAAGCAAAAGATTTGCATACTCCTATGGTGTTACCACACCTCCACACACATGCAGAAAAACTGGCAGTACCTGTGACAGTGTATTTGAATCTTTGCAAATGTTGAAAGACTTGTTTGACATTTTGGGGGAAACACTAGAATGTTAGGCTGATACCATGATGACTGACACCTGATACTCTCATGTACTATTGCATTAATGTGGCTTATGTGCTGGAAAAGCTCCACTGCACTACACAAGATATAATATTTAAGTAGTAGTGAGTTGTGGAGATGCTTTTAGGAGGAATTGTTGCCTCTGTGTCAATCCCCTCTGAGTACTATATTTGCCAACCTGGGTTTACAGCAGTAAGATGCCAAAACATGCCAGACATGAGTGCAAATTTATTTAATATTTGCCTACACCATCATGACACCTGATACCACCCTACCACCCATCCTTGACTGGGCATACAATATTTCTAACCCCCCGCCAGTCTCAGGTGGTGATTCAGCTCAATTTTTGTTTGTTGTTGTTGTGCTGACCTGTACATCTCCAGAGTCTGTGCAAACTGAAGCACATTGTTGTAGTCTCCAAACAGGTTGGAGATGCAGACTGTGAAGTTAAACTGAAATTTCTCCTCCTCCTTCCTGTTGGTCTTTTTGTTTCTTATGGGGAGCCAAATCTGGTCAGATTGAGTCGCGCTCCCTGGCTGAGTCTGAAGGGTGACATGTGTAGCGTTGCAGTTTTGAGGGATCCGACACATGACATCTGTCGTGACGAAGGGAAAACCAAAGTTGTCTGGGTGTTGTAAAATGGTCGCTGGAGTGGTTGTACTTGATACGTAGTCTGCACAGCAGAAAAGACAGTGCAGGGGTTGGATGGAGTCTCTCCTAAATATGCCAATGATGCGTATATCCAAACCCTTCACTCTCTGGTCCATGTAGGCCGACACCTGGAAGTGCTTGGTGTTGTTGAGGGGGGTGATGGTCTGCTCAGAGATGTAATAGGGGCAAGCTTTTGGAGGCCCACGCGGGTTTGGGATTGACCTGTACGTCTTGGGTGTGCCCACAGCGACGATGGAGATAAGGATGAAGGTAGCAATAAGGAGGAGGAGGAGGAAGAACTTCCGTCTAACATCTTTTGCCTTTTCCATCCAGTAACAGACGAGATAGATTCGCAACCTGAAGGCAGAATTAGGAACCACAGTTAGAGAGATTCAGGTAGATATCTGAGGAACAAAACAAACCAACATTACTGAGATGCAATCTCCTTATAAACATTTGGTTAATCATTAAATTCCTCTCGATTGAGTTAATGCTCTGAAGAGACAAACTCACTGACTTTCACGTATACAATGTAGAGAGGAAGTTAACTCCGGTAATGTGGAAAAAATAATTAGCATGAGGTCTGATGGATGGAACATAATGGCTAGGTTATACTAGCGAATAAGTGGCTTGTATGACATGTTGTCTGAGGATTACAAGAGTTCTAAAATTTTATTTATTTTTTTTTTACTATTTTCGTTTATATTATAGTTATATGCCGCGTATTCCTACCTAAATGTGTTTAAATGTGCAGGGTACATACATGATGCACAGTGTGTGGAAGGAATGCAGTCAAACAGCTCATTTTACCCTCATTGCCCCCCAGTCATGGTTTTTCTCAGTGAGATGTGATGATGTTTAGAGATGAGGTTACAGGTTCCTATAATAGAGACTAGGTCTTGATATATCTGGCCTCTACCCACTTATATAGTGACCTAAAACCTGCTCTACCACATCCTTAGATAATGGATCTTCTCTTTAAAATATCCAACAGCAACATTCCAGTATCAGAAACGTCTTATGTGTTCTGCAGTAAATGCTCGTCCTTCCACATTTTAAAGTGCCCCCGCCGATGAAAATCAAGTTTTTAACCTTGTTGACATGTCCATGTAATGTTTTTTATATAATACAAGGCATATCATGAGCGAAATATGCAGTCAACACCATGACTGAATATTTCCAGCTTGGAACTGCAGTGAACCAATGGCAGTCTCATAAAATCAGATTCAGACAGCCAGGGAGTCATTTGTCATATAACTAAGGAACCAATACTTTCAACTTGCGGGAACCTGAAACCTTGTCAGTACAAAGAGCGAGAGTTTGCAGTAGCACAACCACTAACACTGTGTCAGCCAAGGACAGTTGCTAGCTAACAGCTTAAACAAATAAAAGATGCTAACTACGCCGACCATTCTGATACGTATTCTTAAATAGTTTAAAACATGTCTGGGGAGGAACATTAGTGTACGATTTGTATATCGTTTGGAAATTGCATTGTAAAATACAGAATATACTCTCTCTGAGCACTTTATTGGGAACACCGTCCAATGATTTCTGCATATTTGTCAGCTTCACCTTCATGCTGCCAATTTGTTTTGCCACATTCCCAAAGCATTCCACTGGATTGAGATGTGGTGAGTGGTGAGGCCACTGAAGTTCACTGAGCTCACTATCAGGTTCATAAAACTGGTGATATGATTCATTCTCATGCTGGAAGTAACCGTTACAAGATGGTAAATTGTTGCAATGAACTGCAAGCAATGTCAACACAGAAGAGATAAAGTAACTGTGCTGACAGTGGTTTTAAAATATGTGCGTAACATCAACCCCCATAACCGATGACACTATTTAGGTAGGGTCTAGCTGGTTTCATGAAGTCAGCAACAAAGGCTGTGGAGAGGGATCCACTTCTCCTTCTCCACCACTAAAACTAGACGGTCAACACCCTGGTTTTACTGAGGAAACACGAGTGTTGAATCAGGCCTGCAGGACAATGGAGCGCATATGGTACAAATCGAAATCAGTAGCTCTCAACCTCCATAGGCACGAATGCGTATCGAAACACAAGCACACTCTCTCCACTGCTAGAGCAGCTAAGTTCTCTAAGTTAAGCAGTAACAATAAAAACAATCCTTGATTTCTTTTTGACACTGTGGCCAAACTTACTCAAAGCAGCAGTCTCCTAACTTCTCGCCCTTTAGATAAGATGTACCTTTATTGATATCCTCATAGAGGAAATTCAAATTTGACACACCAGCTCAAAAGAGTAGCAGTGCAAGTGGAAAAATGAAATAAAAATATAGTATTGGCTTCTAAACCCACCACCCGCCCCCTTGACCCTCTACCAGTTTAACTCTCTATAAAGACCTCTGGCTCTTTCTGGGACCTTCAGTCCTGAACATTGTTAATATATCACTAACTACTGGCACTGTCCCCACTAGCTTTAAAACTGCTTTTGATTAAACCTAAGAAACCACACCTTGATTCAGAGTCTCTAAATAATTACCGGCCAGTCTCAAACCTTCCTTTCTTTTCAAAAATATTGGAAATAGTTGTGTCTCAGAAACTTTCTGTTCACTTGTCTAACAATAACCTGAGATAGCACTGAGGTAATAAGGTACTAAATGTAATAAAAGTAGTGAATGATCTTCTGATTTGGGGTGGATTCAGATTCCTGTGTTCCTTTTACTGGAACTCAGTGCAGCTTTTGATACAATACAACACGGGATCCCTGTGGGATGGGAGTCAATTTCACTATTCATCAAGTGACTGGGACGGGACAGGAAAAAAAAAAGTCAGCGGGAGTGGGCGGGACAGGAATCATAATTCCAATAGCTCAATTTCTATATAAGCAGTTTCAATATGAACGAATACGATTTCCTTTATTTTAAACATCAAGCTAGTCTTTCTGTTGTCTCCTCTCCTGTCTGCTCTGACCGGTGCAGGATGCGTGTGGACAGAGGATAGAGTTGTGCCTATTGACGATGACCTCGGTGACAGCTCATGCCTTTGCAAATGTCAAGAGATGTTTGGCTTGTTTTCCCATTAATATATTAACTTATTATTATTTGTAGTATTAATTTAATATTAAATTTTATCTAAAAAATTAAACATCTCACCAGTTAGAATATTATAGCATATCAAGAGATATAAGCTATTGTTTTTGTAGCACTAACAACAAAAAATACTTAAACTTTACAGTTTCTCTCCGATTTATGAAGCTTTATAGTGAGTTCCTCATAGTTAAGGTGTCCATGTCACAGCGTTATTGTTTTAGTTCACTCACATTACTCTCATAGTGTCACACCAGAAACCCGTTTTCAGTAGAAAAGCTCTAAAAACCCACTGTACACTACCAGCTTAGCACAAAACAGCAGACAGACACAGTTACCTACCAGCTGCGGAACACAGTTTGAGTATTTTGCTGTTTAAAAGCCAGCCCCGTTCAAGACTGTCTCATTCACTGCATGGGAGACAGTCCCATGTTCATGGAGCTGTTGTCCTGAGCTCTCTGTCTCTCCATGGGTTACTTTCTTCACTACAACAGTGGTGATTCTGGATAACCTGTATCATGAAGCTATCACCTTGTCTCCGTAAACACTGGGGTGTGCAGAGGCGGGCTGTTAAACGCTGCGTTACATACCACATAATCAGAACCATGAATGAAGGCTTGAGATGAGATAAAACAGCATTCAACTGGGGTGAAAGATCAACATTTAGTATTCAGTTGCTTATGTGTTTCTAATTATTATGGCAGTGATTTAAATCCATACATTACCTGATGCATTATCCTCACCGCCACCAGCCCACTACACACACACATAGACGAAAGGGGAAGTTATGTAAGGCCTGTGTGTGTTCAGTTCAAATCCCTTTTTTTGAGACCACGCTGCCACCTGCAAGATTGTTTGAAGTTGTTCTGCCAATTGTTAACGAAGCCTTTTATATCAATTTTTTAATATCCTTTGTATTATGTCCACCTATTATGCATCCTAATTCAATGTGTGTATCCGATTTCCCAACAGTTTCCTAACAGCTCATTTTGCTGTTTGATGTACTTAATCGGAGTAAGACAATTGTGTTGGAGTCACTTATCCTTGCCTCAAGAGACAAAGTTAAACCTGTAACTTATGCAAACCGTTTGAATTTAGAGGAGAAAGTTATGTGTTTTGTTCTCCCGTATTTACTTTGTTTTCTATAAACAGGATCCTGATGAAGTCAACCTTAGTTGACACACTAATAATGTTCTTTCCTTTATCATTCTTAGTAACGGTATCAATGGCAGTATATGATTAAGTTATGTTTGTTTAGCAGGCATCAACAGCTAATGTGGGCAGCCTCTAACTTCTTTTACAAATTGTAAATGGGGAATATGACTGTATCTGGAAAAAAAGGAAAAGCATGTGAGAAGGAAAAAATTAAGGGGAGAGGAGAGTGAAGGAGGAGGAAAGGTGAAGGTGAAGGAGAAGGAAGTGAAAGGCAAAGAAGAAAAAGAAGAAAGAGAAGAGAAGTGAAGAAAAGAAGAGGAAGTTTAAAAAAAACAGTTAAGTCTTAAGTCTTTAATTTTTAGTGTAGCAGGATTGACCAATCTTCACCACAGGTTATTACATTACAACAGTTAATCATAGAAATACATGAAGATAAAAACTTCAGAAACTTTCAGTGAAATATTGACAATCTAACTGGAAATGTTTTTCATTTACGAAATCCGGTCACGTTAATTGAAAAGGTAACCTACCGAAGACTGAAGTGAATCTTTTCTTGACGGATATCCGTTGACTGAAGGACACAGGCCGTGGAGAAAGACGTTACCCACAAAGCTTCACTTTCTCTAAGAGACATTTCCTCCCACACCAGCGCTTCTTCTGACGCCCCCAACTTCCGCTCTGCAAGGCGGAGCGAAGCGCGATGCACGGAGCAGGATGAACAACAAACGAACAAACCGAAAAAGTATAAAATTGTGGCTTCGATGTTGTTAATGTAAAGGAAATTCACTGTGTACTATTGCCTACAGTCGGTGGTGGAAGGACTCCTTAGATCGTATGCTTCAGCCTGAGTACAAGTACTAAGCCTCCATTAAAAGTAAAAAATCCTGAATTCAAAACTGTAGGGTACTCAAGTAATAGTACTAGTAGTGTCATATACTCAGGTATTGGTTTTATTGTTACAGAATGCTTGAATGTGAGCATTTAAATCATATATATATATATATTTGAGGTGGATCTACCTACATATACATACACCACTGTACAGTTCATCAAATAATACATGATCATTTTGTGTATTAAATGTTATTCTCTTCAAAGTAGCCAACTACAGCTGTCACATAAATGTCATGGAGAAGTTGAACTATAAAGCAGCATAAAATGGTCATACTAAAGTATTACAAAATTGTCCAAAAAAGTCCAGTAATTGAGTAAATGTACTTAGTTACCGTTCACCATCGTTTACAGCAGCTTCCTCTGATCATTAAAAAAGAAAAGAAAAAAAAAATCTAATTCAAATAGCCAATCATACCAAATGAAGCTATAATTAAAACACTGTACTGCATGTCACACATAATAAGCCTATTAGAAAAGGTCGTTAGAAGCTCATTTGAATATAAATAATTTTATTATTTCAGTAATACTCCTTCCATACGCAACCAGGCAGGCAAGCGGCAAAGAGTGTTATCCCTAATCAAACCTAGCTAACTCCCACGGACTGTGTGCACTGCAAGAAATTCAATCATTTCTCTTAATTGAGATCCTACAACCCTTAGAAAAAAAAAGACAGTATAGGCGGGCAGTCAGTCAAACAAATGCTGCGAAGCTAATCACTTACCAGGTGGACTACTGGGAATATGCTATCTGTAAAAGGATACATGAAAAAATTATGCATAAGGGTTTTTAAGGACCCTTAAAGCCATTCATTATTATCTGTACAGGCTATTGAAGTGACCTGCAGTTTGACAGCAGCTTTGTAAAAGCAGATTCTCCATCCCTTAGGGACACTTAAACACCATTTTGTCCTGTTCAGATTCAGTCCCACCTGCTGTGAGAGAAAAAAAAAAAAAAGGCCTCAGATTTTTGCTTATAGCAGACAATTAATGATCTATGAAAATTAACTTCTGATACACGTTTCTCCTCATTTCACTATGTTTTGACTGCAATTCCAAAAAATTTCCTGGTCAATTCAGATCATAAAATATCTATTTGTCCTGGTAGGCTAGGGTGCATTTGTCTAGCTTGTACATGTCCCCTATCTTTCTGCCTAGCTATGAATCATCTGCAGCCATGCTACTGGCTCTGTGAGTTTGAACTTGAATTGAAATTGAATGGTAACGTCAGCCTGCTAACACGACAATGCTGAAATGCCGAAGTCAAGAAGGAATGTTCACCATTTAGTTTAGTGTTTTGACATGCCACCGTGAATAGCACGAAACAAAGTACAGGTGAGGCTCATGCTTTTCAAGTAAAATTTTAACTCGATGTCACTGGGACCGCAGTTGGATGTCTGGATTAAATTTCATGGCAGTTCATCCAATAGTTATTCAGACATTTCACTCAAACTATTCACATAAATGTGAATCTCATGGCTGCACTATAGAGACATTAGAATTGATCCACTACAGCAGAATTCCTTCCACTGCCATCCATGGAACCACGTTTCCAAAATAGCTAAAGATGTTGTAGATATATAACTGATAAATACGTACATGCAAGTATAAATATTTCCATTCCTACATGTGTTCCCTCTACCCCTCTTAGTGCAGCAGCACCGCTCTCCTCAGCACGTTGTTCATATTTGGGATCAGCTCGTCTTTGAAGTCCCACAGTCGCGCGTCTGCATGAATCTTCTCCACCGGCCGAACAGAGGGCGTGCTCAGTGGAGAGCGAATAATGTGTCACAGCTCTGGTGGAATCTTGAACTGCTCTCCAAACTTCTTAAGCACTAAATGCACTGAAGTCTGCTCTACCATCCTGTGAAGCACAGACGGTCACAGATCATTATCTGAATGCTGCTGCTGATACCTACGGTATCGCAGATTTAAAAACGCCGCACTAAGGTCTGTTGTACCTTGGCTGAATATTCAACTCGCACGCTATACTCTGCTGCTCTGTCAGGCTCCCACTTATAGATGTGCTCCAGAATATTAAAACCTGGCACCCCTCTCCATCGAGGCACGTGAAAGTTGAACTGATACAGAACAAGTTAGACAGAAAGCAAGAACGTACCGGAAACGCCAAATATGAGCATCAAGTATATCAATATAATTTATCAAGTGTCCTCTCAATTGCACACAAACAGAGACCCTACTTTTGGATGGTGCTGTTGGACCATGTCCATGAGAATTGTGTTGGTATGGCATTATAATCTCATCAATATTATGCACCATCTCCACAAAGCCCTGCTGGCTGTAGCTCTGCAACAGGCGGTCCAGGTCTGGGCCACAGCTGGTGTTATAGATCACCACCCTGTCCACACGCAGCAACCTGGAGCAAGGTGAAACATGAAAGTGTTCACAAAAGTGCCTTTACCTAAATGCTAAAAATCAGTGTATGTTTGTATATGTGTATTAATCATGTTGGTTGGGGGGTGGATTATGTGCCAGACTATTTTTTTTTGGGCTTCAGTAGCAACTTCCTTAAGTCTCACTGTTACATTGCCAGGCAGACTTCAGATAATTAAGCTAAGCTAACTGAGTACTGGCAGTGGCTCAGTATCATCCAACTCTGTTCAAGAAAATGTCAAACTTTCCTTTCAAGGGATCACCAAAGTTATTTACACCCCGAGGCAAACATGAATGTCTGTGCCAAATTTCATGGAAATACATCCCAAAAATTGTCAAGACATTTCCCTAAAGCGTAAACGTGTCCACCCCATGGTGCTGGTTGTGGAAAAGTCTGGGGAAATCACAGAGGTAAGATTCACCCTCTGGGGACCATGAGTATTTGTTCAAATGTTAATTAGAATCTATCCAATTCTTTAGCCCCTTCAGTGACCAACAGACTGACCATCACCATCCCTATTAAGCCTGGCGAAATGGCAAAAGCTTGTACACACCATGGTGACTCAATCCACCCCACGCCAAATTAGAACAACAAGACATTTTAGGAGCCCTGCCATTAATAGTACCTTAAGTAAACCTTGTAATGTTAAGACTCTAGAGACTTGAAGGTTAATTTAGCTCATGCTTTGTGGTGGTTTTGCTGTCATTATATCTACCCTCTGTATTCTGTGTGTAGTGTGAAGTGCTGACCTGTACATCTCCACGGTCTGTGCATACTGAAGTGCACTGTTGAATCCAAACAGGTTGGAGATGCAGACTGTAAAGTCAAACTGCAACTTTTTCCCCCTTCCTCTTCACTGGTTTTCGGGTTCCTTATGGGGCGCCAGATCTGCTCAGGCTCCCTCACACTATCTGGCTGAGCCACAAGACTGACATTTGTAGCTCTGCAGATGGAGGAATCTGACACATGACATCTGTAGTGGTGAATTTCTCCGAGTGTTCTTCAAAATTTGCTTGAGTTGTTATATTTGATAACTGGCCTGCGCAGCAGAAAAGAGAGCGAAGGGGCTGACTGGAGTCTCTTCTGAATATTCTAACGATGCTTATATCGAAATCTTTCACCCTCTGATCCCGGTTCGGACAGGGTTTGGGATGGCCCTGTATGTCCCGGGGAGCCTCACAACCACAACCGTGACGATGACGATTATAATTGCGAGGAAGAAAAACCTTCCTCTGAGTTTTTTCCACTCATCCATTCAACCAAAGATTGACAAATCCTGTAGCAGATGTTACACAGTCACCATTACACATATCAGACATTTGACAAACTAAGATTGAAAAGACACTACTGACTTAAATAAAGTCAAGCTCAAAGTCATGCTCTGTCAAGTTCTGTGTTAAGACCACTGCTTTTCTAATTGTATCAAGTGCCATTGACAACACCCACTGTCAATCTAATGTAAATTTTCTAGTTTGCTCACAACACTCAGATTTTCCTGTTTTGCCTGGTGCTGTGTTTTGTCATGAAACAACTCTTGAAGTAGAAATTTCCCTTTCCCTCAGGTATAAATGTTCAAGGTTCCCCATGCTCGGGGTCTTTCTTCATTTTGAACTGCTCACATGCTGACCGACCTTTTCTTTGCAAAGAAAATAAAACCTTGTCGGCCGACGGAAGTCTCTATTTCATTTTTCACCAAGAGCAGAAAATTTCCACGACACTGCACAGTAACTTTCAGTCACCACTATATTCCTTAGCTGTCCAGAGCATTGAAACGGGCAAGAAAATAGGGGAGGACATCCATAATTAATAATGCCCCCCCATAATATGTGGGTACAGCACTGAACCAAATGTGCAGTCAGATTCACTGACACCAAGTCAACACAGAGCGCAACAGAGAGCTGCTTCTGCTGCATGAGGATGTAGGGATGGAAATCAGAACTTATCCATGCAAAGTTTAACTGACACTAAATCAGTAATGAATGTAGCTACTGTACAATACACTGAATTCAACAATTAGAGCATGTCCAATATCATAAAATTACAACAAAAAATAAATAAAAAGTTAACAGCCTTTGCAGTTTATGGATGAGCTGTTAAGTTTGAATGAGCACCGCTAAGGGAATGGCTTTTCATAAAGCTCTAGTGGGGACTGTAGCATTACAACTGCAGTGTCAGAGCCAAAAATCATTTTTATTTAATAGCCAATAAATACTATATTCTATTTCATCTTCATTAACATTCATCTGTTAATCTCATCTGTCAGACTGGGGATGTTTTAGCTACGATGGGACTAGTTTAAATATCACTCATTGAGATTGTGTCATGTGTGCTGTAAGTCAGTGACACATGAAGTTTTTATCTGTTGTCCATCTGGGATACAAACCATTAGGGTGTAGAAACAAACCAACAAGCGAGGCAAATAAGCTACCACAAACAGATGCTAAATGAACAAAGAAATGCAAAAAGACTACAAATGGCACAAGGACACTTTAGATGAAAAAAAAGTTATGTACTTGAATGTTATTCAAGGAACTAATGTGTGTGATAGACAGATTTTCCTTTAGAAATGTAGCTGCAGAAATGGTAGGCCTACGAATTTTCATAAAGACAGAAATAGAAGTCATAGCGAATGTGACACATTTGATTTTATATGGAGGGTTAATGTGTGTGAAGACGCCACCGCTGTGTGGGGGGTTTTTAAATGGGTTAAAAACACAAGTCGTGGGTGTTGTAAGACGCTTCATACGCTGTGGGCTACAAGCCCCGGAGAAGCGAATTGCTCGCGTCCGTGAAAAATAAATACGGGCGAACTTCGCTTCGCAGTGCGCCGCGATCAGTAAGTCGTCGATGTCCTTTGGCCAAACAACAGGTAAATTTAGCTTTTGGAACAAGGTAACGTAACTTAAACTGCGACTTCACAAGTAACAATAACCGTAAAACAAAGAGGCTTACTTCAATTTGCATTAAACGTGGACAAACAGCAGGCCAGAGTCTTTCATCAACTGCAGGTGCGTCTATGATTTACCCAGGTGGAGCGAGATGAACAGGTTGAGGCACGAGGGGCTCTTAAAGAGCAAGACAGCCAATCAGAATGAGCTACTACTGTTGTGTCCAAGTAATGCTGGCTGCTGGATTCACTTCACTAAATAACTGTGAAACCACCTCCACAATGTTAAAATTACTCAACTTAAATTAGTGTCAAAATCTTACTTAAGTAAAAGTAGATATATTGCCAGCAAAATGTACCAGTAAAAGTACTTGCAGCCAAATGATTACTGTAACTGAAATATTATGACATTATGTAGCTCAACTGAGGTTTAGCTGTAAGAACTACTTTCTGTTGTTCAGTTTAGTTTAGTCTGGTTCCCAACTTGGGGATCCGGCCTGTCCAGAGCGTCACAAAATAAATGTCAGGGATTGTGAGGCAATTAAAGCATTAGGAAAGAGGAAAAACAAAGTTCTGCTGCACAAATTTGATTCCTGTTTATGAACTTTTCTCAAACATGTATTAATTTATTTAATCAAATATTTGGTAATTTGACCTCTTAGCCTAACAGTGGTTTTAATGAAACCAACAAACTGATAGGGGAAATGTGTCTTTGGTAGAAACCACTGGTGTAGTCTTTAACAATGTGCTTCACTGCGCTGCATTGTATTTTCCAAGATTATCATACGTTTTGAAGTTATAGGAACTACTGCTGTCTAATCAATGAAGTGCAGTAAAGTTTACAGTTTCCGCTCTCAACTGTAGATGAATAAAAGTATAAATTTGCAGAAAAAGCTAAATATAACCACTGGTTATTAAGAATAATAATGATGGTAAAATCAGTGTTTGACCACCTGAAACACCCAAAACATCTGTATAACATTAACAGCAAACACAAAAGAAAACATACAGTATGCGCTCTTTAAAAACAGCTCACGAAGGCATCCACTGTCACATTGTTGTAAAGCACATTTAATTTCCTGTACTTCTCAATCTGACACTGACATTTAAGCCAAAACAAATATTGGCACAAACAGCTATCATGCTTCTTGAAGCAGAGCACCTCTTACAACACTAATGCACTATCGTTATGTAATGTTCTTGACTGTGCAGGTACTTATTTATCATGTGTTGTGTATGAAAAATACCTATTATTTTAACCACTTTCTTTTCTCTGTGTGATTTGTAATTCTTATTCAAATGTACTTGTTGTACCATGTCCAGTTTATGTAGGTGGTGACAATCAGTATCAGTGGTTGTGGTAGCAGCAGTAACAGTAATATTCTCATTGTAGCTCATCAGCAGCAGCAGTAATCTTACTTGAAGTCAAACTTTTTTGAGACTAAATGTTATTTTCTACCAGCAGATGTCACCAAAGAGTAAACATTAACCATGATTCCCTGTTGTTGCATCAGTTGGGCTCTGGCTGCAATGTATTTGTTGTGCTCTTATCATGACAGATGGCACTTAAATACAGCCATCTTTGATATATGAAAGATAAAAATATGTACCATCCCATGAAAGTTGGACCAGATTATAATATAAATATCGTGGACTCCTACTGAACATACCATATAGGCCCACTGTAAACATACAGTATGCATAGAGGAAATGTATATGTAAATATATACATAGATATGCATAAATATGCATAGGGGAAACTGGGAATCCTAAATTATTAGATTAACCTTTCCTTCATTCTTTGAAAACACTAATAATTTCCCAACAGAATTTAATCTAGTGCAATCTAGAGCACACAGCAGACTATAAACAGCAGCTTCATTATTTGCACAGATACTAACCAGTTCTCCTGTCCTGGAATATTACCTGCTCCCAGCTTTTCTGTGTCCTAGGCTGTGGTAATTTGATTAAACACAACCACTGTACCACAACCACAATATTAAGGTCTTAAAAACTAGATTTTGAAACAGGGCGCACAAGGCAGGGCCACATCATAAAGTAATAATGCAGGACCCACTTTAGTTGATGCTGTAGTCTACTTTAGAGGGGCCCATTCTCCAACAATTTGCAATAAATCATACTATTAAAAAAACAAGATTATTGTGGCACGATGCTATGAACTAAATGCTAACATGCTCACAGTGGCAATGCTAACAAGCTGTACAGTTGAAGCCGATGGGAGCGTACATGAACAAATCAAAACAAAAAAATAAAATTTTGACCTGATAGAACCATAAGGTTACTAATCCTCTGGGGACAACGAATGTCTGTCCCAAATTTCTTGGCAATACATCCAATAGTCGTTAGGAAATTTCAGTCTGGACATAAGAGGTGGACCAACTGATCAACATTGTCCATTGTGTTCATCAGCTGGCAGCTAACTTGTCTGTCCACAAGTAGCATGCAATCGCTGAAACAGTTTAGCTTCAGGCTACTAAACCAAAAGAATAAGCTGAAATATGCTGAAAAGCTCTGCAGAGCTGAAGTGAACTGCAGAGTTGGGTGATAATTCTTTGTCGGTTGGTCACTACAAGTGACCCCTTTCACATTACATATCGTATTTGATCCACTGTTAATATAAGAATATTGATTTTTGAGCAGCAGTGAATGTGACCTTCTTTAGGTGTAGCTTCACCAAGATGAGAACATATTGTATGAGCCAGAGGTACAAGTTTTTATTTTAAGAGTGGATATGTGTCTTAATTTTATTAGATAAATAAAAAATATAAATCCATTCTTTGTCTTCTATCAAGAACATTTTGACATCTAGACCCATCCTTACGTTTCAGGTCATTTTGTTGTTGGAACAC